TTGAGGTCTTGCTTTGGGAGAGGATGCTGTGCAGGATAAGGAAAGAACTTGAGCTGCAGTACCAGGTCATAGTTCATTCCTCCCCCTCCCCAGCTTTCCTTCTCACTCTACCCTGCTCACCAGCACCTAGCACTGGAAACCTCGAGGGTAAGGATTTCCTGGCAGACCCCTAAAGCTGCACTGTTCTACAGCTGGCAAAAGAAGTTTGAATTCTGAGGATCACTTGGATTCATGAAGAGGTAAGAGGCAGCATCAAAGTGTTGAAGAAAGGAAAAAAAAAACATGTTTCAAGCAGAAGAAAGGAATAGGAGGGCGGGGAAGAGCAATGAAATCATAGTTTTTTTAGCTCATATCCTTCCCTTTAGAATTTTAAGGAAGAGTACATGTATCCTCAGAGTTATTAAGGGAAAAAAACCCTGTAAGCTTCTCCCACTTCAGATTTTATTTTTCCCCTCTATTGATTTGTCTCCTCCCAGTTTTAACTTCTGACTTCTGAACAGGGTATTTAATTGTATACATTGTCTTGCACTAAGCAATCTCTGTACTAGGCAAATAATAATAATAATAATAATAATTATCTTCAGGGATGGAAGGGATTTTTGTGGATGATTATTTTATTGGTCCAACTGCGTGGTTGGGATAAAGTTAGAGAAGCTTTCAAATGTGAGGCATTTTAAGAATGAATATAATTTGAAGTCTGTCTCTTCCCTACAAACCTGAATAAGGTCCCCAGGTATTTCTGTCCAATGGTGATAAGAAAAATATGCAAAAGTTTGAAAGATAGTATCCTTTTGGAATGCAGAGTTGAAATGTAGCCTGTGTTTGTTGCCTCTGACAGAAAAGGGGAGTTGTAAAACAGTGAAGGCCTTATCCAGATGCCTTATGGTACAGGTGATGTTTGGCCTGATAATGCTTAAATAACAATGAATTCTGAAAGCACTTTAAGATGAAACCGTACTTACTGTATAAAAGAAAATTGTATTACAGTTAAACAGGTCAAACAGTTAACTTATTCTTCAGCTGTGGGGCACTTTTTATCCAGATGGTGCTGCTTGGAAAGGTACTTCATAAAATATTGGGGCCATTTTAAGGCATGATTTGGTTAATGCTTTCTGGTGCATTACCTTTCAGCTTGCCTTAGGTTTAATATAATAGTATTATTGTAAAGATAGTGAAATATGTACACAAAAACTAGTTTGTGATGATTGGTACTTTATCAGGCATAATGTTTTTGAACTCTTGACAAATAATTGTTTTGAAGTGGATTTAAGATGTGTCTTATATTTACCTGAAGTTCAAGCTAGGTTATTAAGAATGTAAATTGAGAACAAAATCTAAATAAATGAAAATCCCCTGACAGCTTGCCAGCTGAATATTAGAATGCCAGTTTTTGCACATGGATGCCATTTGAGGGTGGGTCTGGCAGGTTCTCTGTATATGCGAGGGAAGAATTTAACTGTAACATACAACATCTTGTTACTCATGAAATTGGCCTGAAGCTGTTGTAGAAATTGAGAAACCTACTCTTATTTAAAAGTAAGAATTCAGCAGTAACACTGCTACAGCAAAAAGGGTAGTTAGTTTATTGCATTGTTGTAAGACATCTGTTGTATTTGGCTTTGACTTGTCAGATATAAAGTTGCCACTTCCTGAAAGGAAGTAAGCATCTTGGAAGAAAGAGTGCAGTTTTGTAACACAGTGGGATTAAAGTTTTCTCCCCAGTTTTTTAAAAACCTATTGCTTAACACAGCATCATAGTAGCCAGAATGCAAGAAAAACAAAAATACAGCTTCCAACAGGCAAATCGTTCCTTCCTTATTTATTTATCACTTATTATCTGAAGATTGTGTGTTTTAATTCTCCAAAAAGTATGAGATCATCAGTATGTTATTGATGATACTCAGTATTAGTCTCTTCTAATGACTCTTAAACTTGTCTCCTTCCCAGTCCTCTAATCCATGCAAAATGCAGCTGCTGAAATCATCTTGCTTGCTTACCTCTTGAAGCAAGACACCCCATATTTGAATTTCTTCCATCAGCTTCTACTCTAACAAGTTCAAGCTTCCTGTGTTCATGCCCACAAAGCTTTTCTCATTCATGAATCTGTCCTATCTCTTATCACGTGGTTCCCACCTGTTCAACCCTGCCAGCAAAGTCTATGCCAGTCCCATCAGTTATCTCTTCCTTCTTTTTCATTTTACCTTTTCAGCTGTAAGACTATTTAGTGGATATCGAAGAGAGTTGTAGTTTATTATTTGCCTAAAAACCATGCAGTAAGTCAGGGCTGTCCAGCTTGCAGGTGACTGGGAGCTGCATACTGCATGGGGGAGGCAAAGCCCCCACCCCACTGTGTAGACTACCCAGTTTCCCCATCCTGCTCACACCGCACAGCTCTCTTCCTCTCCAGCATTGTGTGGGTGACCTCCCCCACTCCAAAGCATAGGCATCATGGTTCTCAACTACTGTGTGCAGCACCCCCTCCTTTCCACCACCCACACCACATGGGCAGCCCATGCAGCTAGCTGTCTTCCCCCTCCAACCCCGGCCGTATGTGCAGCACCTGCCTCCCCCTCTCCACCTGGCCATACACACCACCCACCTGCAATGTGGGCAGCCAAGCTCCCTTCTTTGTCACACGCATAGTTCAGGCATGTGCAAAGTTGGGGAGGAGAGTGAAGAAGTGGCAGCTAGATGGAAGCCCAGGAGCCACATTTGGCCCACAAGCCACAATTTGGACAGCTCTGAAATTAGATGTCTTGCTTTTGGTATGGTGTAATAGCCTACACTAAGCTGTGTTGCAGTGGTTAGACTGGGCAGTCTGTTCAAACATGCAGCATGTGAGGGGATAAGTTGCAGCCCCCGGGCTCCTGCTTGGCTGCCTATTGCTTCAGTTGCAACAACGGCTGGGAGCTTCAGGCTCCAACTGACTGCCCCCCCCCCCCCCCCCCCCCCCCCACTTATGGCTGCTACTTCCTTTCTCCACCCACCCCAAGGAGTAGGGCAGTGTGGTGCAGGGAAGGGAGTGTGTAGGGTTCAGGTGGGTGTACGGTGCCTGGATACAGGGGATAGGCAGACGATGTTCTTTGGGTAAATCTGATCTCTTTTATTGGACCAACTAAATAGTTGGGGAAAAAAATCTGTTAGCAAGCTTTCGGGTTTGAAAACCCTTATGAAGGGTTTTTAAACCCGAAAGCTTGCTAACAAAATTTTTTTCCAACTACTTAGTTGGTCTAATAAAAGGTATTGGATTTACTCAAAGAACCTTGTCTGCCTATGTCCTTAGACCAACACAGCTACAACGTACACTCCTGAATAGAAGGGAGATGCCCAGGTGTGCATGCAGTGTAGCACATGCCATGTGTATGTAGCCCAGGGGCCTGAGGCTCACCCTGGTGCACCCTGCATGGCATGCAGTTCTTGCTGGTGCAACTCGCAGAGTGTACATCCCCTGGCCACATGTAAGTTGGAGGGAGGGGGAGTAAAGGGGAAAATACATGTTCAAGAACTGTGTGTATTGCTCTTTGCCT